ATTTTCTTAATGCTTGCCTAATCATTTTGAAAGATGACTTTTTTCTCAATGGTTATTAAACTTCAAAACTGACTGACTCATTACCCAAGCTGATTTTATGTTTGTGGTTTTTAATTCACTGTTCTTTTGTGGTTCTACTGTAGGTAGGCATTCCATAGTATGTAGATAGTTTTTGTTTTGTCTTTCTCTGTCTTTAGTGATTCAAGTTGGAATGTTTTCTGTAAAACTTTTGTCTTGCAAAGAGTTGTTTTCAATCCTAAACTGCACTTTTTCTTATGGAGTGATGACCTTTAGGAATGTTTTTCTACATCAAATTACAGTGCTTTCCTTCTTACCTAACAGCAGAAGTTAAATACATATACTGTACCAATTAAGCTGCAATTTGATGAGTAAAATCATTTTATAATGTCATGAAGGTTAGATGACAATTACATTGCTTGATTCAGTTAATCAATGTAATAACCAGAGGAAACATTCACAATGTAGACTCATTATGAGTTGGAAGTGATATAAAACATATCAGACAGCCTGATGGGATAGTGATTAGCATTGCTGCCTTTCAGCGCTGGAGCTGTGGGTTCAATTCATGGAGTATATCATTCCTGCAACTCACAGCTGACAATCCACTGAAGCTAAGCAGGTGTGAACCTGGTCAGTACCTGGATGGGAGACCTCCTGCAAAAGCTAATATTGCTGCTGGTAGAGTCGTTAGTGGGACTTATTAGGGACCAGTAGAGGGTGCTCACCCTGTGGTCTGTGTGAGTCCTAATGCCCCAGTATAGTGACAGGGCCTCTTTACTAAAAAAGAGGTGCTGTCCTTTGGGTGAGACATAAAACTGAGGTCCTGACTCTCAGGTGTTTAAAAATCCCAGGGTGTTTCTTGAAAAAAGCAGGGGTGTTAACCTGCTGTCCTGGTCAAATTTGCCATTGGCCTTTACCAAATATGGCCTCTTATTTATCCCCATCTATGAATTGGCTTCAGCACTCTGTTCTCCTCCCCACTGATAACTTGTGTGTGGTGAGAGTACTGTGTGCACTATAGCTGACGTCGCATCATCCAGGTGGGGGCTGCACATTTGTGGTGTTGGAGGGGAGTCCCCATTACCTGAAAAGCACTTTAAGTGGAGTATACAGAAAGCACTATATACTGTAAGTGTAAGGAATGATTATTATTATGAGCATATGTTCTTCTCATAAGTGCATGGGTTTCCTCCCACACTCTGAAAAAATACTGGTAGGCTAATTGTTTTCTGGAAAAACTGGCCCTAGTGAAAGTGTATGCATGTTTATGTCTGTGTGTACCTGTTGTTTGCCGAGCTCCAGCTGCCCTGTGACCCTAAATTGGGTAAAGTGGTTAGAAAAAGGGTGGAGGGAGGGATTATAGATCTCATGAAAATAGATAGTCACTCATTACCAGTTAAACCTGTGACTACCTCATGTCTTTGATTTGCTGTCAAGCACATTGCTGTTGAACACAGTATCCCAATTACAGTTCAACATGTGTTAACTTGTGTTGACATTGGCAAATTATTATGGGCCAATGCAACACTCAGAGGAGTAGACAAGCAGTGTTGTGTTGGAAAATGAGCAGTGTTAGACAGTTAAAGATATACCGTATACTGAGAGACAATTGATCTAACTGAAAGGCAGTGGAAAACAGACTTGTTGCAAGAAGTTGTCTGTATGTTGTTGGGCAGTGAGACTACCCTGTACAACAACGAGGATTTACTGGAACTGAGCATTGATGGGTGTAGTGGTTTGAACATATTGGAATTTGTTGAGAAGAGAGTTAGGGAGCTCATAGAATAAAGAGTTGGAGAAATCAAGCCTTAATTATATAAATACATGAATCAGGCACTCAGCATCAGACATTGATAAAAGTTGCCTAATGTGGGCAATATTTCTAAGGTGAAAGAAATATGTCTTAATCAAATTATTCACGAGTGGCTCGAAAGACAGAAGAGGATCAAGTGTGACTCTGAGATTTGTGACTAAGGCTGACATGTGAATGGGGACTGTTACTGTAAAACCCTTAAGTTTATCCAGCTCAGATTTGATACCCACTAGTAAAATTTCTGTTTTGCCACTATTTAGCTTCTGCGAATTTGTTTTCCACAAAATGTGCTGTTGTTTTTGTTGCATACCTGTTGCTAATTCAGAAACAGTTCTTGCAATCTTTAACCCACACACAAACACATTCACTAATAAGATATTTTTAATTTTGATTAAAAATGAATAGATCAATTGAGGATTAAGCATATTGTTGCTTTTAAGATAATGATGATGTCTTTTTACATACTGTACCTCAAAATGTATCTTTCTGTGGTTCAGTGCATTGTTTCCATTATTTTATTGGAAATGACTACGGTGAAGCTAAACCTTCATAGTAAACCTTATGTTGATGCAAAAGTACCAATAATTATGTTTGTGTTGACTTTTAAGATGCATTAATGGAGGTTTTTTTTTAAAAGAAGCTTAAGTTTCTTTTATTTTTATTTAGGATATGGTCTATACTTTAAAGATTTTGAAAGGATTTGAGAAGCACAAATTAAATGGTGGATCAGTCAAGTAGGAAAACATGAAAAGCTTTTTAAATATTTACCTCTGAAAGAAAAATCCATAGTGACTCAGTTTCAAATCCCTCTGTGATTCATCTTATTTCTGTTCTCTAAAACATAATGTTTTCTCTAGAATCAAAGGAAAGTGGAGAAAAAGGATCTGCTGTGAAACAGTCCTGAAGGAATTTGTGAGTCATGTCTGTTATGAGGAAGAGTCTACTTGTTTGGCACATAATATAATATATAGAATTTAACTGATGGATTAAGAGGTTTCTAACGAATCCCCACTGCCTGAAGCTTTAATTAAAACTTCAAGGGATAAACTGTAACTACGGTATATTAGCCATAGTTTGAATTTTAATTGCAAAAGAACAGAAACAAAGTATCAAGCTACAAAACATATTCTTATAAGTGATTAAAGCATTTGAAACACCTGTTAGCCAGACATGAAAATTATTAAGTTTAAGAAACTGTACTGAGATCATCACAAATTGCATTTTGTTTTTGAGATCAGGCTCCATTTTGAAAAGGAAACATGTAATACAAGCTCTGTACTTTCTGGGTTATGTTTTCAGATAATAAAAAAAAATAAAATGCTATCTGTGCTTAAGAAATAAACTAACAATAACTCGATGTGTCAGATTTCTGAGGGGACACAAGCTAGATATTACTGTAACCCACCTTTCATAGACAAAAACTAAGTGCAAAGCAAACAATACTAAACATTTGGGCTAGCAAAATTCTCAGGGATATGCACTGTTTAAGTCACCTGTGTTTTCTTTTTACTTGGCACTTGAATGACTATTGGTACTGTGAACCACTGGAAGAAATTGACATAGTCTTGCCTTAAACTGAAGGCTAACAGATAATATGAATCATACACTTAGGAACTGAGTAAAAGTAACTAAAGGTTTTAGAACATAAATGTTGTACTTATTGATGCAATCTCCACATACTGTACCAGTAGTTTCAACATGCTTAACCATTTTAACAGTTTTTCTGTGTTCTGTGTAAAAGCTGTTTTTTACTTAAGTGGGTTGAAGGATTCCAAAGAGACAGTATGAACTAAAATTGAACTAAAACTAAAAGACAAAAGTCTGAAACTTTGTCCCTCTATTTCTTAAAGATTCCCAAATACATTTCACATGATTTTATACTCAAGCAGTCTGTTTGCATTTTATTACTTTCCCACATTGTCTTTATGTGGACATACTGTAGAAAGATCCCATGCTGCTGTTTCTGAGTCTGCCACTTCCTCCAACTTTTCTTACAAATGTAAGATGATTTAAAATGCAAGTAAACTGTTTTTTTTTCTTTTACCAACAAACCATACTCCACACTCTTACGGGGAAAAATGTTTATTGGGAAAAAAAGTTATTTTATACATTCAAAAAAGAAATATCATAATTATTGTAAATAAGTCTTCACCTTCTGACTTAAGGTGGTAGTACATCTGGCTACAATTACAGCTGTGTGTTGGGATAGGTCTCTACTAACTTTACACACCTACAGTAGATTTGGCAATATTTGACCATTATGCTTGACAAAAATGTAGAAGATCTGCCAACTTCTTCGGGAAGCATTGAAGGACAGCTTCTTAAAACCATGCCACAAATTTTCGAATGTATTTAGGTTGGGGTCTAATTGGGCCACTGAAGGACAATTACCTTTTTGTTACTTAGCCACTGAAGTGTATCTTTGGTGTATCCAATCAAGTGATACCTTGGTTTGCACCATAGAAGGAAGTGGTGTCTGTGATGTGTACAGTGAGAGAACCTGGTATTAAAGCCTCAGTTATAAGACTAATAATCAGTGTTACATTTCAGAGAGCACTTGGGATGTACTTTGGACTGGATCCCAGTGTTATACTGTACAGTACACCCATGTTTACTTCAGAGAACTGTTCTGAACTGTCATGGATATCAGCCAAGGCATCCCCTGTAACTGCAGAATTTCACAGAATATCAGTGACTAAGATAAACCAGACATATTGAAATTTGGCTTAAATACTAAAATGTCTTATTTGAATTACAATTTGTACAGAGTTTCGTTTATTTATTTTACAATGAAGTACTTATCATGGACTGCAGTAAACCCCCCCAAAATAATAAAATGTAAAAAGTGGGTAGAAAAAATGTAACTAATAAGACCATGGGAGGGGTTTGCTGAAATTAAAACAGTAGAAAACATGATTACTTAAAACACTGCAACTGGTTAGGACCAATATGAGTTTCATTTTTGTTTTGTTGATGTTAGGTCGTACCGGTATTCATTCCATGTCCAGTGCATACAGACCTCTTCTGCTGTACTGTATATAAAGTCAGGGAAATGTTAAGAGGTGTTTGACACAACTTACAGGTATGACATCTTTCTAGAAACAAAGCAGTATACAGTAGCCTGAAGTGTGAGTCTTATGTATTTCATATTTTCTTTCCCTCACAGGTGCTGGTGCTATGTTTGCTGATTATATTGCTGGCAATAATCTTGGGATTAAAACTTCATGAAAGAGGTAAAATGATTTTTCTAAAGTACGGCTACAGACAAGAGGGGACCATTTAGCCCATTTGGTAGTTACAATAGTAGTTTAATGATCCAAAGATCTTACCCAACCATTTCTTGACAGAAACCAGGGTAATGTCTTCAACACCATGGCTGGGTAGCTTGTTCCAAACTTTTGGGTGAAGAATTGCCTTCTGTTCTTGGTTTTAAATGCAGTTCCATGCAGCTGCTCTTGTCCCTGTGGTTCTTATTTTACTATTTATTCTGGAGAAATCCTCTCCATCCAATTCAATACTTTTTAATGCTTATAGAAGATCTATAAAGATCAAGACTATAAAAAGTTCAGTTCATTCAGCCTGTCAGTGTGGAACATTCCCTGGACTGTATGTGGTTGCTCTTCAGATATCACTCCCTCCAGATAAAGTTTTGCATTTTGAATTATGGCTACTTGGAAGCAATTAACCCCTTTGCCCTATATGTCAGTGAAGGGTGGGGTCCAATCAAAGAGCAGTATTACATACCACTTAACAACCCGTCACATAGAATTGTGTTAAAACAGTCTCCATATGCAGAGAGTAACACCAAACAATACAAGAAGGACCAAAATAGTCCAATACCCACTGTGAATTAATGTACAGTAAAGAGCAATAAAATATTGGTTACTCCTAAAATGCAGTGGCCTGAATTCCTACCACCACAAATCCCTGCCGACCATACAATACATGTTAGCTGATTACCTGACCAGGGTGAAAGACATTTCAGACAAACTCACTTGACAAAGAACAGGCTTGGAGAACATAGTTTGACCATAGAAACTGGCAACACTGGTGGCTCTAATTTCTCAGAGAGGACAGGCTACACACTCCCATTGCCAACAGGGAGAAGGAAAGACAGAGATGTACTTACTGCAGTACTGCCAAAAAATACTCTCAGATTAGAAGAGTTTTCCCTAAAGAAATCTTATCCCACAATTTCTATGCCTGTCAGAATCAGAACAGGTTTCCCATCCTACTGGCAGGGGGGAAAGAAACTAAATAGAGCATCAGCCCAGTATGTGATCCCCTGTCACCACCTGAGAGACAGAGAAACTTCTCAAATGTGTTTTTTATGTAAATGTATTATAATTATTACTGCTTTGGCAACTGACATTCCTTGGCCATGCCAATAAAACTTATTGAATTTGATAAAAAAAGGAAACCTATCTTGGGAATTAACTCAAGCCACATAATAACAACTCTTGTGATTTGGGGGACATATTAGAAAGAAAAAATGAGAAATATACTGAATGGCTGGTATGGAATCTGTCAGATAATGTTTTATGTGATGTTTGTAAAGTCTGTTAACTGTTTCATATTAGGAAACACTGTAATTAATTGTATTTGAATACAAACAAGCAAATTTGCATGATGGGCCTGAGCACCTTTCCTTGTTCGTAACATTTATTTTATAAAGTACGGTATGTGCTAGTTTCCCTCCCAGAACTTTTTCTGCAAGATCTCAGATTTCCCATTTGATACAATTAGTGCAAAGTAAAAAATGTTTTAATCAGCTGCAGCTGAAACCACAAAGAATTTATTCTGTGTACACATGCTCTTAAACTCTCACAAATAGGCTTCAATTCCGAGTAGTTATAGTGGGAATTGTATGGCATTAGTTTGGTATTATGTTTTTGGTGTATTTTCGTTTGGAGGGCGATAGCACGCATATAGGAATTCACCAGTTGCATATCTCAGTTTTGGAAATTAGCTCTTTGTCTTCTGTTGACAACATATAGTACCTTTGAACTTGACTTTAAATCAAGGTAGGATTTAAGGGTTTGATAAAGAAAGTGGGAGAAGTTCACAAGTGAAAAATTCAGTAGTATGATAGCCATAAGTAAAAACCAATATGCAAGCCAAGTACACAAGAAAGTAATTTGAGTTTAATATTTTAATGCATACTGATAAAAGCTGCTGATTTCTTTAACCAAATTGTATGGCTAGATCTCTTTTCACCAAGTATATAACACTAAAGGGAGTATAGCAAGCACCACAGTTCACAACTAACATTTTACAAGAAGTACCAATGACAAGGGACATGAAAACACTTTCATAAAATATTAATTAAATTAATCTATCCATCTATCCAATGTCACTAACCACATAGTAGAATGTAGGATCCAAAGACTTAACCTGGCAGACAGAGGGCAAAAGGTTGCAACACCCCAAACAATATTCACCTTGGTCAAATTTTATTAAGAAATTGTAGTCTTGCAATGGTTTGTAAATACTATCAAAGCATGAGGCCTAATTAATAGAAAATCTTAGTTGTAAGTTTAGCTGTTATTTTTAATGATTTACTTTTATATATTTAAACAAAAGCAACAGTGAGCTACAATATTTTTATCAGTGTGCACATTAAAAATGGATGCAAACAGTTTTTTTTTTCCCCATCATGCACCCACAGACTTTGGCATCTGACATTTGTTTGAGGTTTGGCTCATGAAACTCATCCAGCACAGAAATCTAGGTGTGCTTGATTTGTGTTTGTACTACACTTGCTTTGAGGGCTTTCCATGCTTCTGTATGCTGTGTGTTTTAGACATTTTCTTTGGGTTTTCTCACTGACAGTTTCCAATGTTTAGACAATTTAATTTGTTAGAAATGTTATTTACCCTTAATATTTTGGCCATGGATGTTGTTTGCTACAGGTCAAGTATGGACATGTGCGAAACACCGTTGTGGTGAAGAACATGTCTCCGGAAGCTATTGCTCCTGCTCTGATGATTGTTTAAGTAAAGGAGATTGCTGTGCAAACTATAATAACATCTGTAAAGGTAAGCTCCATTATGTGGAAGTTAAAAATACTGTTTCTTTTAGAATCAACAATTGCATTACAGTCTGTTATTACTTTCTTGACATACCACACATTGTTTTTGCTTTGTTTTTAGAGTATTGTATCATTCTTTGATTTACTGGTTTCTTTTTCCATTCCACGATTGAAGTTCTTTATAGAATCTCAGTGTTCCCATATTTTGTAAAGATATTCTCACTTTAAAAACATGGGTTTTACAAGCTTAAATTGAAATTACTGAATTTAAAGTGAAATTCGTGTGGAAAAAAAGCAATCAGAATTAAAAATAGAGTCCTAACAAGTGTCACTCAGAGGGCCTTATTTTCTAAAGGATATAAGTGTCCATTCTTAGCTCACTGGTCAAAAAAAGTGGCTTCTCCAATACTTACTCGGCTAAAGACATGTGGAATTAATGCAAGGCACATATGTAATTTCCATATAGCCACAAGGCAGGAAACAGTGCAGTTATTACAGGCAACAAAAATACAGACTGGTGCGGGAGGATAAGGTACTCATGAATGTGCAGGAGTACATTCCTTTGAAAACGTAAAGAGATGTCCAGCTTTAACCAGATAAACATTGTAGGCATCCTCTCACGAGGCACCAATAAATGTAGGTGTTTTGTGCATTTAGGGATAATTATTATAGTAATTGTAGCAGTAAGTCACAAAATGATTCTTTTAGAAGACCAACTTTGCGGGATAACTCAGGGACATACATTCAGGGACATACATTCAGTATATCATTCATTTAGACTGTTTCGTAAATGAACTTGGATTACAATTCTACACTAGATACTCAAAAGCAAGTACATCACTCATAGGAATTAAATTGATTTCAACGGGGGTTGAGGTAATAATTGAATTCTTGAGCTGTAATGCAGAAGGTTGAATAGTCATCCAATCTGTGTGGATTCAGATCTCCCGCGGACACAAAGAAGCAGTGGCAGGCTTGTTGCTGTGTCCAATCGGCATTCTCTGGCCCGGTGCCAAGCAGTGCTGTTTCGGCGTGAGAAAAGTAGGAGAAGTTGCGAAGTGTTGCTGATGCTCTGTGAAGACCGGCTAGTTAGTTCTGGGTTACTAGCAGAGTTTGTGCACATGAGAAAAGTGACTGCGGGTCCAAGCAAGTCACACTCTTTAGACAGGAAGAAGACCGGTTCGTTCCTGATGTAGCACTTGTCCTGAATACTGATGTTCAGCTGTCCACAGTTCTGACCGTAGTTCACTTGTTGATCAGGTGAGCATTCGCTGTGGGTTCACGAGGCTTGCTGCTGGGCTAACCTTGGGTGGATCCTTTGGTTATGCGCTGGTGACCTCCGTTCTCGACTCTTAGAACAAAGGAAAGTCCTGACACTCGGACACACTGGCCGTTACGTGATTGTCCGAGCTGAGTCTGAGGATGTCCAGGAGGAGCCCTGAGGGAGCCCTGTGCTGCCTGTTTTACCTGGAGGAACTACGGTCGTTCATTGGTTGAAAGTTTCATGGGCATTCGAGACCCACGTGGGGTTAACCTGCCCTACCAGTTCCTGATTGGCTGAGGATGAGTAACAATGCACTCTGACCTTAGGGTTGTAAACAATCTTGGGATGAGACTCTCCCTTGGAATCTCCCAGACAGTAAGGCGCCAGAGATGACCATTTGTTAGGGTGGCTGATGTGTCTCAGCTTTGGGAGTTGTTCCTTATCAGGACACTCTATCAGCTAGAAAAACACCTTAATTGTGAACCAAATGGAATGGCCTCTCTGTATCCAGCACCACTTGATATGAGAGACAGAGGGACTGGCAAGGGAGCAGCAAACTTAATTCCTATATTTTTAATAAGCCTTGCCGCTACAACATCAAGAGAACACAGTGCAAAACAAGTAAAAGAATTGTTTAGCTTACATTAATTGTACCTCTTTAATGTGTGGGTTTAACAGCAACTATGTGCCCTCTTTCTAACTTACTGTACATGCATGGAGTGATACATTGTGAATACTTTAACCTCTCTTCACTACTGTTCTGGCTGAACTCTTGTGAAGTAATTGGATTGGGAGGTTCTGGGCACGCAATGTGGATTTTGAAACTAAACTAAGGGCAGACAAAAAATGTTTTGTCATGCACAGAAATAAAGGAGAATATGACCTTGATTACAGTATGAGTGTCCTTTGCAGTTGCTATAAACATTGAGCCTCTCATTTCATCTACTGCAGTGCTAGATTTATGGAATACTGCTGCACATAAACCTTGAATATCTTGGAGATTGTACAGTTTCAGTAATTACTTCATATAAACAATGCATTTTTTCAACATATAAATACTGTTGACATACAAAATTTTGTATTTTAGAAATTTCTGTCTTTGTACTTAAATACAATAAATTCTCATTTTAATGCATGGCCATTTTACTAGATAAAATTTAAATTAACAAAAGACGGAGGCACAAAGGGTTGTGGGGCCTGCAAAAAGCTATTCGCCAATAATCTGGCCTCTTCCAAGAATATTATTCTGTGTTCATTATGGAATCCATGTTTAAATAATGTTAATTCATTGTATATTTTACAGTAAGCTTACTTAGCCCCTTATCACATCCATTTCTCACGTACAGTACTGTGCATACAACTATTTAAACAAAATGTTTTAAATATTAACTAAAACAAAAAAGTATGTTTTGTTGTATACGTTATGTGAATTCTAAAAAGACCATAATGCCTTCTTGATCTGAAGTAGTCTTTCCCTGACTTATTTTTTGTGCTCCTTCTTGCTCTCGTTTGTGCCCTTTTCTAATGTAGAGTACAAACAAATGTGTAATATACTGTATAACAGCAACACACACAAGGAAGCAAGCTAAAAGACACATGCTTTATGTAACAGATACTCTATACTGTGCATTTCTGCTCTCCTCTGTGCTCTTATCCTAGTCCTGTAACACAATACCCTTCCATCTTTACCAGACACAGCAGCCCCAGAGGGCTCTAGAGGACCTGACTTTAGTTTCCCTTAACCTCACCACTCGCAGGGACAGACAGTAAATTTAGTTTTCCTCTGTTTTAAACTATTTGTGTACTACTTATCTCTTTAAGAGGTATTTAAGAATGTGATTGGCAAGCATTAGGTGTAATTAACACTATTTATTATATATAAATATCTCATACATGAAGCACCTGGTAATTGCACTGCACGTTGTGTTTCATGTGTTAAGATATTAAACCGACTGTTAGTGAGCATTGCTCTGAACAGGTGATCAGGACACTTGTCACACTGAAAACACTTGACTGCTAGTATTTGAAAGAGAGTTAATGTCCCTGCAGTTAAGGCTTACTTGTAATATACAGCAGTCACATTACAGTCACAACCACTGTTTTGAACTATTTCCAGTCAGTGACTTGAACAGTTCAGCTTCCTTCTGTTTAACTACATGAATTACAGCTTACAGGTTTTACTGCCAAATGGAGGCTATGTCACAGTGAATGAATGTATTTAAGCTACACATTCTTTTTTAGGAAAATTACAAGGCTTTCATAGTGCAAATATTATGGTTTTGTCTGTAGCACCATTTGTGTGTCAATATTTGAATTTTCAGATGTTTTAAAGCTGACACTTTGTACTTTTTCTAAATATTTAAAGCAAAAATAGCAAACATCCTGTCAAATCACAACCGCTGTTTATTTCCACTCTATGTAAACACAGCAAGAAACTACATACATGGCAGATGGTAGCACAAGGCATTTGTATAACCTAGAAAATGTCTCTTTTTGGAATAACTATGAATTAAGTTTCAATTCATACAGCATTGACCTGATACCTGTGTAGCAGATACCTGTACCATACTGTAAAATGAGACTTTGATATCACTTTCCTGAGTCTAAACTGTGTCAAATGTTTAGACTGTGACATAGTTTAAACTGATGTGGTTATAGAGATGTACCCAACAATGACAGATTAGAAAATGAAGTGTCTGACCACAGTTTGCAATTCACAGTAACATTCATGAACTGATGCCTTTAATGTAATCTGTACTGATGACGTAGAATAGTATAGGTGATCAGTATAGATTACAACAGAGTTGGTTTGTAGACTTTATGCTGTTGCAGGTTCTTGGTCACCTTATTTGGACTTGCCCAAACTGAAGTAATAATACTGGTTTCCCTGTGACTGAGACAACTACCCTTTTCTGTCAAATGTGAAAAGATAATATTTACACATCAAAAAGAAGTTCTGTTAGCCATATTGTTTTTTTTTTTCATCCCCTCATCCAATACAGGGCTGCAGAAGAGTCAATTTATCCCAGCAAGCAAGGGGTGCAAGACTGGGTACACACTGAACAGAACGCCAGTCCAATGTACAGTAGGAAGCACATAGACACCAACACGCTCAAACTCACATCAGGGTCAATATTCTCAGAAAGCTGTTAACCTATTAACCAATTGCCTTTGGCTTGAGGAAGGAAACCCAAACAAGGAGAGAACATACAAAATCCACACAGACAGAAATAAAACCCACGACTCCAATGCTGCAAGGCAGCGATGCAAATCACTGTACAACTCTGCTGCCATGTTCAAGGTCAATCTTTGTTCCCCTTGCATTTTAGGAGAGAAAAGCTGGGTGGAAGACAAATGTGAGGACCTGGAAACACCCACCTGTCCAAAAGGGTAATACAAATGTTGTAATTCTAAACTGATATATTACAAAAATGTTGTTAAATAGATGAAAAAACATGGATTGACTTTTGTACAAACAAATGACAACTCTGAAACATGTCAATTCACAGAATGAGGTGATTTATGTTATTGTGCCAGTATTTCTGCTTATACTACAGTGTGTTTTCATGACACTGTATTTCAAAGACCATTTGATTCCATAGAAAGATTAGTTCATCGACTCTTACTCTTGTTATGCATTTTCTCTTTAATGTTGCATTTAGAGATGTGGTAAGAAATTAAATCAATACCTGATAAATCTTACCTTACCACAGACAAAGAGAAACATAAGGGGATGCAGCTGGTTGGATATACAGTACAGATGACTGGAGTTCAACTCTTTATAAATATACTGTTTATTATTTTGGTCTCCTCACTTCATGCATTCTTTTGTGTTGTACCCCATTCTGTTCTTTTTGTACATTTTCTTGTTATCCCAGACATATATCTTTCAGTACTTCTTTGTCCTCTGTAGTTTCTGAAGCCTTTCATTTCAGACAATACAATCGCTTGCTCTTTCAGGATGATACTCTGTTGATACTCTTGTTCGTATGCAAAGGCTAGACTTTTGATCAAAACAGACAGTTCCCCTTTTCAGATCTCTATGAAACTGGGTGAGAAAACAATAATTGACAAGAACTACCATTTTACGCTTAATTTCTGTTATGCCACTTATACTTTTTACAATTTAAATCCCTGATTAAAACAATTTCTCTTTTGATATTTGCTCATCTGGGTCTTTCCATAATCTCACTGACTACACTGTTCCTGTTTAGTTTATCTTTTATTTCAGTCTTTTATACCACACACAGCTAACAGCCTCAAAAAGCAGTTCACTCGCTTTTTCTCAAATCTCTACACTCGGTTTGGCTTGTAGTCTTCCCTGCTATGGTCTCTGTCCCTGTATTGGAGTCATGCCACACATCAGTCGCTGCCAGAGATCCAGCTTTGGACAGGCCAACCCACCACTCTCCTTACACAGTGAGGTTCCTTTCAGTTCCAATTCCTTCTCTCTGGGCTTCACAGCCACATGTTCACACATCACCGTTTGGAAAACCTTTCCTGTCCTACCACCACCATTCAGTCACACACCATATTTTTCCCACTCCTTCACATTTCTCACATTTTTCAATCACTTGAGCATGACAAGGCAAGGCAGGAGAAAATACCTGTTACTGTCCTTTTTAAGTACCTACAGTATGTATCTCACATGTTGCTCCACATCTGGGAAACACTGCAGGTTTTCTCCATCTATTGTCTTACTGCATACTATTCATTTTCGCAAACTGGAATCATCTCTTAATTGTGTTTGTGATGCCCCTTCAGCCGTCTCTCAGAGTTGGAGTGGAGTTTTCCTTCTCTCTCTGTGGTTTAGAGAGCCCAGAGGTCTCTTCAGAGAAGTCAGGTTGTTTAAATAGGATAACCAACAGCTGTAGCTCATCCAACCATCAATTCCCCCCCAACTGTGGCTTCCTAAATGGGCACCGACAGAAGGCCTGTAACACTTGAATTCCATACCTCATTGTAAAGTGAATCATTTATGCCCGTGGCTGTATTTTGTGATCTATTACATATTCCTATTTCTGGGCTCTTTAAATTATTTCAAATGTTTCTTTGTTGAATTCTCTCCAAGACCAATTTAAATGTAGCTCACCTCTGAATGCAAACATAGTCCATCCTTTTTCCTTACTGAAAATGCATCCCAGTGGCCAAGGCAACCTAACCTTTCTTGGGCACACTATACCTTCAGCAATGCATTGTGGTCTTGCGCTAGGTTCTGTAAATACTGTACGATCCCTGGCAGAATGCTGTAAAATTCCCAGAGAAATCTCCCAGAAGAGGGACTGTGTTTCCCTCTGACATTTATGCATACATGAGCCAGTGCCCTGGGGTCCTCACCCAGCTGCTAGGAACTGGATGCCCCCCCCAAAGTATGACTGTCCCCACTCTTCCTGTTAGTGTCTCTTAAATATAAACACTAAAATATCTGGAGAAGTTGTCATGAACAAAAAATAGTGATAACTGATCTTTTATTCTTATTTTAATTAATGAAAAACAGCAAAGTTTTTTTCAAAAGACTTTTCCCATTTTTTCCCCAAGATTGATAATATTAGAATTATCCAAATTGGCTTATTTTTAAATATCAAACTGGAATTTAAATGCCTTGTAAAACTGATAATGTTCCATTACTAGGTGCTGATAGGTTCAGTCACACAATATGCTTTTAAAAATACTTTTACAGTTTAATCCCCTAATGTCATTTTAGTTAAATTACATTTTAATATAAAGAGTTAGCATGTATTCTAAAATTACTTTTAATATTTTTGTTTTCCTAAATTGGGACATAGAACTTGAGCAGCTGTTTTTTATAGTCAAAAGATCTATTTGTATGTTTAAAGGAGAAATGTCATGCTTCTTTTAGAAATTTAAAGCAGCTGAGATTTCATTTAGCCACACATTATTAAGGTTTGCAGTTTTTCTGGTGTTTCATGAATCTACTGTATTTCATTTGCTGTCCCAATTTCCTCATCTCTTGCTAGGGAAATGTAAACTCCCTTCCAAAAAGATGCACACTACTGTTGAAAAACTGTGGAAGCACACTGCTGCAAAACAAAATGTGTATCTCATAATTAAGAGAAAAGTATCATGTTATTGCAAGAAGGTAATTAATTCTGTATCTTGTAATTTGGAGATACAGTATACAATATAGTGTACTGTATGTGATAATCACATGATAGTACAAGTCTCATACAATACCTAGTACACTGCTGCCAGCAAAAAAATACTGTACATTATCATCAGTTTACTTTCATGTCTAAGCATTGAAATCGATTAACGTCTCTTGTTTAAGGAAACGTCTGAGAGTCGTCATGTTTGTAATGAATGTGTCCCCATTAGCTAAAAATTGTAACATTTAATTATGACTAAACCCCAGTGGAAAGTTGTCTATCTTTCTATGTAACAAGGTCATTTACCATCTCGTAATAATAATTTTCATGTATTTAAGGGATTATGTTCTTGTAATTGTAAAATACATGATTTGTTTTCCTTTATTGCAGCAATGCATTTCCATAAGGAACTAACATTTAACCTCTCAGAAACTATATATGTTATATCATACTTGGGCTACAGTAATTTTCAAATGTTCATGTGAATCAGTTATTAGTCTCAATACTAGACGTGGCTGTTTTCAGTCACTTTGGAGGGTGTGGTGAACTTGTCACCATTCTGAGTTATTAGATTGTGGTTAATAACAACTGCAAACTGTCATCTCATCGAGGCACTTTGTTATTAGGCACTTTGTTGAGGCTCCTTAACCAACACTGCTGGAATCTTGTTACAGTACATGCTATACTGGGGCCTTGGCAGTCACTCCTACAGTTCTGAGCAGCAAATAATGGCACAAGTACCATGGTTAGAATTTCATCAGCTCAGTGCTGGCTCTTTTACCCCTGCCACACTCTAGACTGTCCATTCATGGAGTACCTGGCTGTGCTTGACAAGGGCACCCCACAATATAATAAAGGTCTTCTATAACAGTCGAATTGCAACATCGGTAACATTAAGCTACTCCCCTCTTCATCTCCATGTTCCTACACAGCTATCAGCCCTGTTCTGTATCCCATGAAAGATCTGTAAAAAACATTCTTCTTCAGAGAAAGCATTGCTTTGCTGCCATGTGTTGCATCAGCTGCCCACTGCACTTGAGCCTAGCAGCTGTGTGAGGCAGCAGTGTGATCAGGGCTCTATCATAACAGAAAAGTTGTGGATTGTGGATGCTGGGTGTGGCTGTTGCTGTTGTATCCTTGAGCAAGTTGTTATATTCAGATAACTTCTGTAATGTTCTCAACTGCATTGATTGGTATGCTTGTAAATTGCTTTGAAAGCTTCTGCAAGATAATAATAACTGTCTTTTAAATGCACAGTATAGAGGTGATGACAGTCTGGTTATTAATTATTATACAGTATTAATATTAATTATTAATACTGTATTAAAATAATATTGTAACCAGGTTATGGGCATGGTTACAGTATTTTATTGTAATACAGTTTTGATAGACATTATTTTCTATCAGGAAATGGTCATCTTAAACAAGGGGGATAATGGTATGGTCTTGGCCAAATATGAATGGCTTCCTCAGAGATGTTCTGCAACACTGTTTCTGTTGATGGCAAGGTTAATACATTATAGGATAATGATGTTCAGAAGCTCTATGTATTCGAAAATATATCTATTATTCCCTCAAAGGCTCTTAGCCTTTCATCAGAACTTAGAAGACACATGGTTTGTTCAAGTTACAATTCTGAGCTGACTGCATGATATGCACATGTGCTAAAATATCTCCACTATCATTTCTTATAATTTATATAATTTAGTTCAAGTATACAAACGCTTCTTTTACCTGCCCAAATTTGAGCTTTGCAAAGCAAATACATGAGGATAATCAGCGATGACTAAATGCACTTGAAAAAGCATTTGGTTTAGGTTTTAATTATTGTTTTCTCTTGATTGTTTGGGTCAGTGCTGACAGGTAATTCATAGCTTAGGCTCACACACTGTGATCTGAAGCCCTGTGCACTTCTTCTGGAATTTAACATACTAACTTTAGTTTTTGAAAATTATAGAAAATTCTTATCACAAAGAAAGAAAAAGAACACAACTACAAATGTGAAATAATCGGGCTCAGTGGGGGGAGATATGCTTCTCTTATGCTATGTTGTGTTTATTTTGTTTGTAATGTTGAGAAAGGCGGGATTAAGGACTACAGGCTAGTAGAGCCTTCTATGCTCTATACTATACATTGTACATTGTCTCAGAAGAGATCTCATTAGTTTATAAAAAGGTATAACAGTGACCATACACAATAATAGTTTATTAGTGTTCCTTCTATTTCTAACAGTAAACCCAGACATAGACACCATGGGATGGAAAACCTCACTCTGACTTTGCAGCTTTGTGGAGTGTAGGAACAGGATGTTTTTCTTAGGGCCCTATGAGCTTGTTTTTGCATCTTTCACATCTTTATTGGTTGTCCTCCAATAAGCAAACATGCTGTCCTTGAAGTCCTCAAGTTGAGATGAATCTGAATTGGTGACTTTAATAACTGTTCTAACTTCCATTGGCCAGTTGAAAAAATATCCAATAGCAAAAATGGGGAAAACTAACAAATCTTGGCATAAGAAAGCTTTTAACAAGTAATGTTCCTGTCTGCCTCCGGAAAGATCCAGTACACTTATGTTTTCATTTTGCTTGCTTGGGAAAAGCTTTTATTGCTTACTTGAATTTTCATGTGGAATGAAAATGAATGGTTAATCTGGGGGATGGTGTAATGGTTCCTGAAACCAGCAAAACATCTTTACAAAATAACCACCACCTTCTGTTGCTAGATTGCCACAGACCATATCCTGTGCTTGTCATGTCTGCAAACTGTATGTGGGTTAGATTCATCTTCATTTGTGTCTGGGTCCTGATTTTAGTGCCATTCGGGGAGAAGGGAGGACATTCTATGAAGGTTTATTTAAAAATAACTGTTGCGTGTATAATATACTTACAGTAAAAGTAACTGGCTGTTCTGTGACCCTTTAGGAAACAGGCTTACTGTAGTTTCCATTTTTATATATATGTCCTGTTAGTGTGTTTTAGAGTATTTTAATTGTTCTTTATGCCTCTGAATGTGTACAAACTTGATTTTTTTCAGATTTTCAAAACCCCCCGTCATCTTGTTTTCAATGGATGGCTTCAGAGCAGAATACTTACACAAATGGGGGCATCTCCTCCCCACAATAGGAAAACTGAGTAAGTACAATTGTTAATAATTAGAGGTGCTAGAGCAAAGAAAAGATCAATTAACCAATTTATGAATACTGCAAACGATCTTATTTACCTATTCTAACACTGAACTGAAATCATGTACTGTAAATAATAATTTAAAAGTGTGTTATCTATATACTGTTTATATACTCTATATATGTTGTCTATATACTGTATGACTGAAACTCAAGTGAACTTGTTTCCTCCCAATATGATAACAGTCATTCAGCTTATTGGCAGACTTATTAAAATATTAAGAGACCACTCCTTCAGTATTGCGTAGTTTTTATTGCTTTTTTTTTCCAGGAACCTGTGGAACCACTACCCCTTATATGAGACCAGTTTATCCCACAAAGACCTTTCCCAATCATTATACCATTGTTACAGTAAGTATTTACAAATGCAGCAGAGTGTGGCTGAAGCAAAGCTCTAATTTGGCTCTAGGTTTACTAAGATATCTGTTTTTACAGGGGTTGTATCCTGAATCCCATGGCATTGTGGATAACCATATGTATGATGTAACTCGTGATGCCATCTTCAGCCTTAAACTGCCTGAGAAGTTCAATCCACAATGGTACCAAGGACAGCCTGTAAGTACATACATTTCTTAACTATCTACTCAAAAGCTGTGTGAATTTAAATATTCAAATTTTAATAGCTCTAAGTTAAGAAAAGCATGGGATAGTACAGTGTTTGAATCATCATAATTGTTTTTTAAAATGTTTTACTTCTGGTTTTACCATGTTTACTTGTACTTATTCCATATAAATTCATACTGTACACTGATTCTAAATGTCTTAAAGATATTGACCAGATACTTTCTATTTGCCTGCCCTACTGAATGTATGGGTGCAAAGTATCCAGTTTTACTGATGCATATTACATTAAAGATAACAATCCATCTGGTATCAGGAACCTGCTTTTTCCCGGTAAGGATAATCCAGAGACTATCTTAGAATCATAGGGGCAAGCAAGGACTACTCTCTGGATGTGATCCCAGTCCTTAGGGCACTTAGCCTAGCCAATATGTCTTTGAAAGATGAGATGGAATCTACATGAACAGACAGAGAATCAAACCCAAGATCTGTACCAACCTCTATGCCACTGTACCTCTCCTTTAAGCTGCCATACTCTACAAAATATCCAAAAGTATTGACTAAATATTTTAAATGGTTGATACTTCAATGAATTTTGAGAGCAATGTCCAGAATAAGATTATAATAAACCTTAGAGATTATCCTTTTTATCCAATTATGTAAACCTCATAGGAACCATTTTAAATAATGATGGATTCTGCCCTCACAAATTAAAGCCTGCAAATGTTTTGAGCTCTCATTTGGGCAGACTGTGGTTTGCTTTTAATGTGAGGAATCATCAAATGCTTGTTCGTTGGAAGCCTCTGGCAAAAAATTTCGACTGGAAAGATTTCTTTATAGTTTCAGACAGAAATATTCCTTTCTAGATACAAGGGAATAATAACAAGCATTTGATTTTCATGTTCAATGGAATCAATGCCACAGCATGCTGCAACTGCTATGTGTGGAGGTAGACTGACACATTAAAAGAACTCTTCTGCTCTCAAGGGTCTCAAGAAGAGACAGTTTGGTGCAGGGAACCATCACAAATTGCTAAATTCAGCTATAACCAAGTTGAACCCAGTACTGTTGCATAATGTACTACCTTCTATAGTACAATATGTCTGGTTTAAAGACATAATCCTCCCTCATATGATAATTCAAGTACTAAAGCATTGGCTTTAAGTTAATTAAAATATCATAAATCAACTAAAACCCAACAGCAGTCACAGTACAGCTATAATCACAAACATAATCAGTTAAAATAAAAATATGAATCCCTCTTCTGCATCCAGTGGATTTCTGCACTTTCTCTCTGTACCTCGATGATTACCATGTCCCACTGTAATGAAAAGAGCAATATAACTGTCAGTGGACCTGTCAAGTTGTCTGCAGCCTGTTTTTCACCACACTGCTGACATGGAACCAGGAGCGTTAATTAAAATAGAAAAACAAGACCACGCTGAGATACGGATGCTGGGTAGCAGGCTCACTCACTAGCTAGATTTGTCACACAATCCTAACCTGTTGTATAGATTATGTCAAAGTTGTGTTCAACAACCTTTGTCCTGTTTTCATTCAGCTCTGCTCTTCTTCCACCCAAGACCCTCTCAGCCAGATCGAAGCGCGAATAAGTGAATTCTTGAGTATTTAATTTGCAGATGTCGAGTCTCTACTGTATTTTTGTTGGTTTGGTCAGTATCAGTGTTTGATCATCTAGTAATTTGCAAAAGACTCACTAGTTCCAGTAGACAAAGTGATTTGTTTCACTCATTGTAATGTATTATAGTGTAAAACTATAAAACATTGACCAGAAAATAATAGTACGACTAAGTAATGCAGGACTTTATCAATATGGCACAGGGATGAGACTCCTCTACCACATCTGTATGCTGTCATTTTCAAAGAAATCTAGTTTTCCTCAACATGCCAGTGCATAATGGAAGTGCCTCCCCATGCAAGCACTTTGTACGACGTGGGCTATAGTTAAACCACTTTGTCATTTCCGTGCACTATCATGAGTTTGACTGTAGCTGAGCTTGGTGTTGATATTGGGAAAATGTGGATGATGGCGGGGGGGCTCATGATGTAAATTCTGTTTTCTAATGTGGGCAGCTGAGTTATGCAAGAAGCTGTCAGAAAACAGTAATTTAAACACTAGTGGATATTCGATACACTGTGGCTATGGTCTTGCTTCAGTTTGTTTTAACACTTCATGATTAAATTTGGAAGCTAAACAAGTTTAGTTAAATTAAACAAGTTCTGAAAGTGATAAGGCAGCTGACTACACAGATTTTATACTAGCATAATGTAAACTGCTTCAGTAATGTTTCATATGAAAAGATGTAGAGCTAGTTTTTGCACAGCCAAGTGTAATATAAGGGTATCTCAGTGGCTCACATAAAATAAAAGTTTTGGCTGAAGTGACACAGCAAACAAAGGGCCTTGTGTCTAACAATTGATAGTAGTATTGGAATTATCGTTCAGAAGGAGCACTCAGGGTAAAGTCCCATCAATCCCAGCCCAAAGCACCTAAAAGTGCTCTGTCACAGGACATTCCGGAGTACCCTGAGTACAGTACAGTACATCTGGTATTATCACTGTGATATCACACACAGACAATCAGTGTTTCGAAGTCTCTAGCATCCCTGCAGCAAGTTCATAATTGCTAATCCTGGGATAAAACTGAAGAATTTTCCCTTATATTGTTATATTGTATTGTATTATATTGTGAACGGTTGCTCTCTACTTGTGTGTTAAAACCACTTCATTTATTAGAAGTGGGTTTCTTTTGTCCATGTATGATATTTTTAGGAAAATAATCATTAATTGGTTTTGGCATCACTTTATCATTCATGATCTACACTCAACTGACTTGTTGCATAAGTACTGTTGCAACGTGGTTTGGTACAGGTAAAGAGGTGATTTACCGGTTGACTGACAACCCTTGTTAAAATCCAGAAAGAAAAACACAGAAAGTACCAATCTGCCCCATTTATCAAAAGAGCAACACCTTTGTGCCATCAGTGTGTTGAAGAGACACCTCGGGGGGAGGTCCAAGTGTGATGATCTAGGCAGGAGTGTGCTCTTGCTTCTATGAAACAAAGTCCAGTAGGATGAGGCACATTCCCATGTTGCTTGTTAAACAGCTTCCTTAAGAGATGAGAGTATGATACAGTGGTGTGAAAAAGTGTTTGCCCCCTTCCTGATATCTTATTTTTTGTCACACTGAAATGTTTCAGATCATCAAACAAATTGAAATATTAGACAAAGATAACACAAGTAAACACAAAATGCAGTTTTTAAATGAAGGTTTTTATTATTAAGGGGAAAAAAATCCAAACCTACATGAGAAGGTTTTTATTATTAAGGGAAAAAAAATCCAAACCTACATGGCCCTGTGTGAAAAAGTGATTGCCGCCTAAACCCAATAACTGGTTGGGCCACCCTTAGCAGCAACAAATGCAATCAAGCGTTTGTGATAACTGGCAATGAGTCTTTTACAGCGCTGTAGAGGAATTTTGGCCCACTCATCTTTGCAGAATTGTTGTAATTCAGCCACATTGGAGGGTTTTTGAGCCTTAACCGCTTTTTTAAGGTCATGCCACAACATCTCAATCGGATTCAGGTCAGAACTTTGACTAGGCCACTCCAAAGTCTTCATTTTGTTTTTCTTAAGCCATTCAGAGGTGGACTTGCTGGTGTGTTTTGGATCATTGTCCTGCTGCAAACCCAAGTGCGCTTCAGCTTGAGGTCACGAACAGATGGCCGGACATTCTCCTTCAGGATTTTTTGGTAGACAGCAGAATTCATGGTTCCATTTACCACAGCAAGTCTTCCAGGTCCTGAAGCAGCAAAACAGCCCCAGACCATCACACTACCTCAACCATATCTTAGTGTTGGTATGATGTTCCTTTTCTGAAATGCTGTTACTTTTATGCCAGATGAAATGGGACACACGCCTTCCAAAAAGTTCAACTTTTGTCTCGTCAGTCCACAGAGTATTTTTCCAAAAGTCTTGGGGATCATCAAGATGTTTTCTGGCAAAACTGAGATGAGCCTTTATGTTCTTTTTACTCAGCAGTGGTTTTCATCTTGGAACTCTGCCATGCAGGCCATTTTTGCCCAGTCTCTTTCTTATGGTGGAGTCATGATCACTGACCTTAACTGAGGCAAGTGAAGCCTCCAGTTCTTTGGATGTTGTTGTGGGTTTTTTTCTGACCTCTTGGATGAGTCGTCGCTGCGCTTTTGGGGTAATTTTGGTCGGCCGGCCACTCCTGGGAAGGTTCACCACTGTTCCATGTTCTTGCCATTTGGGAATAATGGCTCTCACTGTGGTTCCCTGGAGTCCCAAAGCTTTAGAAATGGCTTTATAACCGTTTCCAGACTGATAAATCTCAATTACTCTGTTTCTCATTTGTTCCTGAATTTCTTTGGATCGCAGCATGATGTCTAGCTTCTGAGGATCTTTTGGTCTACTTCACTTTGTCAGGCAGGTCCTATTTAAGTGATTTCTTGATTGAGAACAGGTGTGGCAGTAATCAGGCCTGGGTGTGGCTAGAGAAATTGAATTCAGTTTTCCGAAGATGTGATAAACCACAGTTGATTTATGTTTTAACGGGGGGGCAATCACTTTTTCACACAGAGCCATGTAGGTTTGGATTTCTTTTTCCCTTAATAATAAAAACCTTCATTTGAAAACTGCATTTTGTGTTTACTTGTGTTATCTTTGTCTAATATTTCAATTTGTTTGATGATCTGAAACATTTCAGTGTGACAAACATGCAAAAAAATTAGAAATCAGGAAGGGGGCAAACACTTTTTCACACTACTGTACTTATACAGGATTTCATCCATTGAGTATTCTTCAGTGAAGAATGTATGAGGAACCCCACACCCCATCTTACGAAGGCTCACCAACCAAAACCTTGTGTTTCTTCTTTCTTCTTTCAGTATGGAATTAACTTTGTTCCAAGGCATAAGTTATGCCCTACTCACCAGACCTTTACTGTCACATGCCATTTCTGCTTATCCTTTAGTACATCTAGAGCTCAGAGATCACTAAAGAGGCACTGCTTGCTCAACACGAGAGCAAGACATACTGTATGAATTGCATTGCAAATTGTTTTGTTTGCAAGAGTGGTGACACACATTTCACAGAACACACCCTTTTGATCAACCTTGCTAATCAGCACAACTTACTTGCCTGTGCCATGTCAGTTGAATAAAATGTGTCTGTGCCTGCTACAAATTGTTTTAACATTTTACTGTTAGCTTTACTGTGTCGCATTTAAAAGTAATAAGTTTCTTTTTATGTATACCTTTCTGCCAATAAAATGGCAGTAGGAATTTACATATGTTTTCCTTTCTTAATAGGACAATAAAAGTAAATTGTTAAAATCAGGGTCGATATATTATCTTTCCAGATCTGGCTGACTGCTATGTACAATAATTTGAAAGCTGGCACATATTTCTGGCCAGGATCAGATGTGGCAGTTAACGGGACCTTCCCAAACTTCTACAAGAATTATAGCAAGTATGTATTTATTTCTACAAAGAAACTAATATGCATGAATGAAATACAGTAAGGGCTTTGAGCTGTGATTACTTAAATTGGAGATTTTTCCATAACTGAATTCTCTCAGGTAATGGAAACGAAGCTAGGAGTGTCTCTGATAATGGTAAAAACAAAAATGTAGAAAGTGGAATAGAAAAGACTGCAGTTTGGGACAGACCAAAAATAGCAATTTGTAAAAGAAGAAAAATGTGTGAGAATGGCTTTCTGTTCATTTTGTAAATACTCCATCATTACTGAACTATGCATTTGCTGAGAAATATTCAGAGATTGGTTTGGAAAGCTACCAGAACACATCACTTGCATGAATAACATTAGATTTTTTTGGCTTCAAATCTGAGACTGTTTTACAAACACTGTGTGCATGTAGATTGTTTTGGCTCTGTTGGTCTTATGATAGAGTTCAAAGACTTGGTGATTACCTTAGGACAGGTTCTTACTGTAAGTAGCTGTTCTCTCTATGATCTCTGATTATTCCTTAGGCTTATACATCATCTTCATTTTGTTTCTTTTTTACTAGGGGCGTCTCCTTTGAAGAAAGAGTTGCAACTGTGTTTAGATGGTTGGGCTTACCTGAGGAAGAGAGGTAATAATTACATTTCACTTGCACAATGTTTTTAGACTTGTGGATATTTTGGGATTTCTCATTTTCTCTTTTAGAACATGTTCAAATGTCACCTGAGTAAAGTGGATTTACAGCCAGGGTCCTTAAAAGTACTGAAAATATTTGTATTCAAGCTGCAGTTTCTGAAGTCATCCATACCACAGCATCTGCAATGGTTTAAACCATAACAAATGGTTTAAATAATACCATTATTTTTCTCACATACAAAGAAATGGCAAAATAACTATTTTCCATGAAACACATCCACTAAAAGAAAGGACTTATTCATTTGATTTTGATGTACGTACATAATGCGTCAATTGTGAAATATTCAAGAGTTAATTATTGACAGCCGATGCTTTCATAAATTCTTTAGTATTTTTCTTTTTTGGCAATTTTTTCAGACCTTCTTCATGTGTGATATTCCACACACACATCTTAACGAGTAGACTCAACATGGAATTAACCTCCAACACACAGTGATGTAGCTCCCCATTCAAGACTTTTGGAATACATACATGTGTACATATAGGCATGTGTAAAGCCTTTAGTTCAATACAGATTTAACTTCTCATCTACTGAAATTATTTGTATGGAGGTGCCCATCAAAATCTAACATGCCAACTATAGGTGTGGCAAAGAGAAAATGTTTTCACCTAAATTTTGCATGTTAGATTTAATGAAAAAAGCAGAGACGATTATGTCAAAATGTTGTGAAAGCTTTACTGTAAATTGACTTTCTGATAGACAAAATGCTGGTTAATGCAATACTGCATACTGGTTTACTTTTCTTTGTTTTCAGACCTCAGTTTTACACACTATATGTAGACGAACCTGATTCTTCAGGGCATCGTTACGGACCAGATAGTAGCTGGGTGAGTGATATTTAGGGTGATCCTATCATACCATTTACAATTGGGACTGCAATAGGGTGGAATTTTAAAACTGCCCCAAAATGGAAATATTTGTATATGTAAATTCCACATGATGTCGTTTCTGAGAAGATTATCACTACCTAATGCCTATATTCATTAAATGCATAATACTGATCAGCTATTCACCGTTTCTGGGTGGTACAGTGGTTAGCATTACTACTTTGAAGCCCTTGGGCTCTGGGTTCAATTCCAGACCTGGGGAGTTATCTGCATTGAGTTTGTATGTTCTCCTCATTTTCGAATGTGTGATTGCCTGGTGCTACAGTATAAAGAGATACCAGTAGGTAAATTGGGGTCTGTGTGTGCCCCGTTATGGACTGGCATCCTCTCCAGGGTATCTTGCCTTATGCCTGTTGCTTACTGGCATAGACTCTGGCTCCTCTGCAAAACTGTATTGCATAAAGCAGATAGAAATGGATAGATGTTCCCTATTCCTGCCATTCATCTGACCATGTGAAGAGTTGAATATGAATACCTATTCCTTCTAAAGCTTCATTCAGGTCAGCAATGAGCATAGTTCTGAATGTGTATATTATTTGCTTTTCTCATTTCCAGTTAGCAGCAGGAAAGAAGAGGATGGAATAGAGTATAGATTTAGCATGTAAATAATTTATTAAGAGATTCTTTTTCTTGTGGTATTTAGTATACATATTTATAACATTTAAAGGCAGGAATATTAAGAAATCACTTGAAGGTAACATTACAGTGCGCCTTCCTGTATTATCTGTCTATAAAGTCATTATTCAGTCATCTGCTTCAGAAAGACACAGGACATCTGTGAAGTGCTTATTAAAGAGCTATTCAGTATACAGTGTTCCAATAAAACTATTATAGAACTAAAGAACTTTTCCAATTGTGAATTGTGCCCTGCTTTGTTTTATTTTTATAATAAATTAAATATTTTATATCCTTTGAAAAAATGTAATCTTTTTTAATGTGAAGAAAGTAGAAATTGAATTAACATTGATCAATTAAATTTCTTATGACATGCTGGACCCTGACCATCTGCTCTGTATTAAATTAACAAGGCAAGCACAAAGCTCAGATGTCATGGTCATAATAACAGTAGCTACTTTCTGATGAACTAGCACCTGTCCGCACTAATACCACATGTGTGGCACTGTTTTGGGTTCAAGAATGGTTTGGGCTCTCTGGGTTAAAAAATAAAAGCTGTGTTTTTGTTTTGATTCATCCAAAAATTATCCCTTCTGATTCAGATTCTTAATTATAAAAGGTAATACTGTACATGAGACAAAATATATAGACAGTTTACTATTAGCTCAGAATCATTTGCCTTTTAAACAATTTTGTATAAATCTGTGCTTGACAGGAATGATTTACAGGGGAAACTATTTCATACTGTAGTTTTGAAAAATCTCTGAAACGTCTTGAAAAGGCTGAAAAAGTAATCTTGAATAATCTAGTCTTTGAAGGTCTCAGTTTGGAGTGTGATGTGGAAGTATAGTTCTGTGGTGAGTCAGTTAACTTAGAGATCAATGTGAGATTGTATTCAGAATTGGTAGTAAAGTACTTGATGGTTTGATAATGCCACTCTTGAAGTTGTTTTCCATTTCCAATATCCATTTTCCTCAATATCCTATTGTTCTTCATTTTCAGGTAAAACAAGCTTTGCTTAATGTAGACAAAGTGATGGAACTGCTAATGGATGGCCTAAAACAGAGAAACTTGCATAAATGCACTAACCTTGTTATTGTATCTGATCATGGTAAATACAGTACTTAATTTTGTCTAATTATTTACTGATGAGGTGGGAATTGCTCATTCATACTATCTCTGCTAACCAGAATATTAACAGTCAAGAAATATAATGCAAATAGAAAATAGGCCAAAGGGCTTTTTTTCAGTATTTCACTTGGAAAAGGAGAGTCTTCAGCGTAAAACACATAGTAGTAGGAGAAGCAGTTTCTGGGTTAGGTAAGGTATGAAATGAAATCACATGGGGTTCACTTCTGGAACTGTCACTCAGCACTGTATTTGGGTTTTTGAAAATAACTCAGAAACACAAATAGTTTGTGACCACAGTTATTAGTATACAGTAAAATTTAAAAAAATTGTAAAACTGAACAGATTTTTTCTCTTTTATTTAAATAAACAGAAACCCTTTGGTCTGTAACAGAATAATATTAGAATGACATGGCTGCCAACAGTCTTAACTACTAAACAAGATAAAGAGCCAACGTATCCTGTGGAACAGGGATTGTTACTTTTGTAATGTTTTCATATACTTATTTAAAGGGAGAGCTCTTACTCCCTGTTTGTGACAGTAGAGTTAAGGTCATGTAAAATATTCTACTAATTTACTGCTTTTTCACATATTCACTGTATATACTGGAAAAAAGATCAAATGTCTACCTCAATGAATTCCTACAACTCAGTATTTTTCCCCCCACTGGGTTTCCATGATATTAAAATATTTGTATTGACTATCTCTGTACTGTTGCTAAAAAGCTACATTACATATCATTTAGGGCCATGCATTTAACTTCCACCTTCAGATAACAAAATAATAAAAAGGGTTCATTGTCAGAAAGAAGACAGGAAATACCATGTGTTCTATACACAGTATGTGTGTATTTTTAGTATATGTGCATTAAATGGTTTTGATTATAGGCATCAGGACTAAGACTAAAAGGAAATCGTAATTCTTATGGAGCAGAGTTTCCTTATTTATTTCTCATTGTGTGAACCACAACGGCATGACAGTTTGGTCAGAAGTCTTTAATTTAATCCAGAACGCATCCAGTAATTGCTGTGTACATTGTTTTATTCTAGTGAGAACTCCGGGTCATTTATTTTCTCTTTTTGCCATGCTTTCTGAGAGCATGCGAGCAATGACATCGCATCCAAAAACACAGTATTGTGAATAGTACTTGCACAGGTTTCTGGTTTATCATGCAAGTGATTTTATGGAAGAGGCTTGTAATTATCACTCTTCTATTAATACAGGAATGGAAGAAGCTAGCTGCAGCAGAGCTGAATATGTGTCAAATTACCTGGACAATGTAAATGACTTCACAGTAATTCAAGGGCCTGCAGCTCGTGTGAGACCAAAGAAACTTCCTGATAACTTTTTCACTTGTAAGTGCTGTAAAGAAACAAGTCTTCAAATCCCTGTTTCCAACATTCCATTATGAATGTTATGATGATTTTTTTTTCTTGTGCTTTATTTTGCTAGTTGACTATGAAGGACTTGTGAAAAACTTGTCGGTATGATGAATTTATTTTTCTTTGAGTTGATTATTATTTTTCATTGGGGTGAATCTTTTTTACTCTTTTGTTGTAGTGCCATGTTTTCTTATGTTTGGTTTCTATTGAAGTGCAGAGTTCCTGATCAGCGTCTAAAACCTTATCTGACGCATCACCTCCCAAAGCGCTTCCACTTCGCCAACAACGTGAGGATCGAAAAGGTCCATTTTTATATGAAGTCGCAGTGGCAGGCAGCCTTGTAAGTTTGCATCTTTCAGAATACAGAGTAACTATGAACATTATGCTGCAGTGCACATAGAAGTAAATGTAGAATATTAGAAGTTAGCATCCTGTTACCGTGCTAAACTGGGTTGATATACTGTACATAATGTAGATATACAGTATAGCTATTTTAAAGGTGGATTTATATAGATCTGATGCAAACTGTCAGTGGGTTCTGTACTCGAAGTATTTGTGGCATATTCTGTCTTTAGCATTGCCTTTTATGAATACTCTAATTCTTCACCTACATACAGTAAGCCTTCAAATTAGTGATCAATGACTGAATCAGAAAAGCATCCCGAACAAAATAAACTGTATTTTTACTTTTTGTAAATATGATTCTTCTAACTATATAATGTGGCATTATAAATTATGGGTAATATGACATAATGACATTTCTCAGCCATTTATCTCCAGGTACAGAGAAGTGAAGAAATCTATTGACAGCACATTAGGTGAAGGAGCTCCCTGTGGTTGTTTTATCTGTACCTGATGTTAGATTGTGTCACACCAATTAGACAGTCAGAGCTCTGGTTCAGGAAGGGGTCAAATCTACCTTTTTTTTTAACTTATAACAATCACATCATGTTTAAGCACGTTTCATTTTTGCATCCCTCCTCCTGCCACAATCTTTGTCCTTGCAGCAGCTACCTGGTTCCTCCCTCATCAAAAGAGGGGGTTCCAGCAGACCCATCTTAAGAGAGAGATAAGATCACTTTATTGGCCATATACAATTTCTTGCATTAGGAATTTGTCGTTTTGCATACCCCAGCTTGCTCTCTATGAGATACACAGACGGGGAGAAAGAAGTTTGGGGTCAGAGCACAGGGTCAGCCATTTACAGTGCCTTGCGAAAGTATTCGGCCCCCTTGAACTTTTCAACCTTTTGCCACATTTCAGGCTTCAAACATAAAGATATAAATTTTTTATTTTATGTG